TATAGTATTTAATTTATCTTATATTTAAAACTTAAAATTAGAAGTATAATTAATCAATATTTTAGATTTAAAAAAATTAATTAATTTTAGTTAGGTTGACCCAACTTGACCCTAACCTAACCCACTTGGATTCGAATAATCTTGGTCTGGGTCATATTGGATTCTAGATTAATATCTTAGACCCATGATGCTACCCATAGCAGGTGAGTTGAGTCAAATTTTCAAATTGGATCCAATTTTACCAAATCTAAAAGCAGGAGATGCGTACCTTCTCAGTGCCATAATACTGAACAATGTTTTCATGTTCAAACCCACTTAATAGACCAATCTCCTGAAAAGAAAATTTAAAGAACAATAAATCAGCACAAAAAATTGTATATCTACAAATATATCAGCAATGGAAAATTTGTCTGAGAACATAATAAACAACTACTCACCTGCTCAAGTTGGGAAATACTCTCACTTCCTCGGCTTTCTTGATCAAGCAATGAAACTTCTTTTATGGCAAAAAAGAATCCGTCACTGTAGAAAAATAAGTTAATTAATAACAAAAATAAAAAAGTGTTCCACATATATCATCCAAATTATGTAACAATGGTGCTGTGGACTTAAGTGGAAAATTTAAAATACTTTCATGTATCAATAACAAAGTTTACATTGACAACTAAACATGATCATACATCAGTAACAACAAAATCATGTAAAGTAAATAACTAATTAATGGATAAAATGCTGATTGTTTCATGGAAATTAAACTGAAATAAGTACCATAAACGGAAAAAAAAAAAAAGTTTTAACTTTATGGAACAGGCAGCATATCAATACTTACCCAGAAATACCTTCGTACACTGATCCAAAGGACCCACAGCCCAGGAGCTCGCCTTTCTCCCAAACAGTAATATTCCTTTGGAACCTGTCATTGGGAGAAATATTGGACATAGGCTCGGTTGTCGTATTGGATAGATCATCACCATTTGAAGTATAAAAGAAACACGATTCAGATAGCACTGAAGTCACGCCGTTCCCATCAGGCCAGGAGAAGACTTTGTGTCCCTTTGGACCTGAAATCACGCCGTTCTTCAAGTCTACGAAGTATTTGCCCTCGCAGCGGCTCCCGTTGGCCCGAGTCAGAACGCCATCACCTGAAATCACGCCCTTCTTCAAGTCTTCGAAGTATTTGCCCTCGCAGCGGATCCCGTTGGCCAGAGTCAGCACGCCATCACCTGAACTCAAGCCGTTCTTCCAGCCTACGAAGTATTTGCCCTCGCAGCGGCTCCCGTTGGCCCGAGTCAGCACGCCATCACCTGAAATCACGCCCTTCTTCGAGTCTTCGAAGTATTTGCCCTCGCAGCGGCGGCTCCCGTTGGCCCGAGT